CTCTCCCTTTCTCTCTAAAAATCAATTAAAAAAATATTTAAAAAAGGGAATATTTTACATTATGTTCAAATTTAGCATCGCTATTTAATCACTTTTTTAAATACTTAGCTACTCCTGGATCTTGCTTTACTTTGTAATGACTAATGAGGCTTTTCCTACAATTCTGTAATATATTAGGTGCTGCAATATCTTGACACCCCTCTTTGATCAAGGTCCAGAAGATAATTTAAAAATCACACATTGTGATGTTATATTGAGCATTTCTGAGGATTCTTATGAGCCTTTAACAGTAGGACCTTGGAATCTTAGTCTCAATCACATTGGCTTTTCTAGTCAGGCATCAAACTCAGTTTTTAGTGGTGTGCCTGATCGCGAGGAATTCAGGGACTTTTTTTTAATGGTACAGAAGGTTTTTTGTTTGTTTTTACACTTATCATGCCATGAATTCAGAGGGAATGGGTTCCCGCAGCTCAGGCTCCTTTCCATCGGTTCTCACAAAGTGTGCTTCCCTGGGTGGAGCAGGCTGGTGCTTCAGTTCAGCCCAGGTACCTTTCTCTTTGGCTTCCTTCTGATCATTTTCCTTCACACGTTTCAGGAAGCTATCTTGGCTCTTAGACTGTTGAATGCACTCAAAACATACATTAATTCCCTTGGCAAAATCTTGTCCTTGTTTACAACGCCCACCGCAGGCTGGGTGACATTGTAGACTCTTCCAGTTTTGCCATGGGAACATTTGTGGGCCATTCCTTTTTGAACGGTGCCCATGCCCTTGATGTCTACAATATCACCTTTCTTGCAGATTCTTCATGTATGTGGCCGGAGGAACAACTCCATGTTTTCTAAAAGGCCTAGAGAACATACAGCGGTGCCTTTCATTCCCTTTGTGTTAGTCATTTTGGTGAATTATTGAAAGGTAGTGGTTCCAGCCAAAAGGCTGCCTCTCAATTGTTTTTTCCCTCATAGCCACAGCCTGTGAGGTTGGCCTGTATATTATTTTCTGGATTTGACTGTCTTTTTCAACTATGGCTCAGTAACTGACTTTCCAAGCTGGTGTTTCTTATCGCTTCCCTTCCTTCCTACCAGTTCCACTCTCCCACGTAAGCCGAGGCAGGCGCTCTTCAATAGAGTTCTCTGGCCGTCAGCTCTCCTGCCTTCCAATTCTGAGTGAGTATACTGTCCTCTTCCCCCGCCCACATCATTTGTGCTTGTAATACTATTTTTAATATTATCCTAGGACTTTGTACCCAATCACCAAATGCTTTTTAAAATTTAGTTTACAGTTGATTAGGCAACTTGGAGAATGAACCCACTTCCTCTCAGATTTCTCTTCCAATGTTTATACAATGTTGAAACTTTTTTTTAATCAAAACAACTTGGTGATATTGTATCAAAGTAATGAAAATAAAGTATCTCCCATTAAGCTTTTAAAAAATGGTGTCCTCCCCCAGCGGCATGGCTCAGTGGTTGAGCATTGACCCATGGACCCTGAAGGTCATGGCTTTGATTCCTGGCCAGGGCACATGCCGGGGTTGCAGGCTCAATCTCCAGTAGGGGGCGTGCAGGAGGCAGCTGATTGATGATTCTCTCTCATTGATGTTTCTCTCTCTCCTCTCTGAAATCAATAAAAACATATATATATATACATATTTTAATATATTTTTATTGATTTCAGAGAGAGGAAAGGAGAGGGAGAGAGAGAGACAGAAACATCAATGATGAGAGAGTCATTGATCGGCTGCAGCCCGCAACCCAGGCATGTGCCCCGACCGGGAATCGAACCCTGATTGCTTGGATCCCAGGTCGATGCTCAAGTGCTGAGCCACGCCCGGCCAGGCAAAAACATATATTTTTTAAAAGGTGTCCTTTCATGTCAGAAATCTGAAGGAACAGCAGTGCTCTAGGAGGAGTCTCTGCACAACTGAACTGGTCCCTGCTCTCCTGGGACCTGGGGGAGAGGCTCATGCAGGAAGGAAGCCTGAGAAGGAGGCTCTCGCCAGCTGTAGTCGCCCCTTGTCTGGTCTGTGTTATTACTGAATTTCAGGAAAGTCCAGTTTAGATTTGTGTGGACCAGACAGGCCTTTGAGTAATGAGATCTTGTGAATTTAGCTCTGTCACATTTTTCTGTAGTGGAAGCAATATGGCACTTAGTCCAAACCATATGTAGGCAAGTATTAAAACTTTTGTTAACTGGCATTTTGTGGTAAGTGCCTTGTAGGGAGGAAATCTAAAGAACCCATGGCAGTTCTTCAGAAAATGGGCATAACCTGTGCAAAGGTAAGGGAAAGGTTTTAAAATGCAGACCAAAGACTCCAGTGGAGTGAGCTCAAAAGTCCTTTTACTGGACCAGTTCTCATTTCCCAACATTGTCCTTCCACATGTGCAAAGTCCAGTGCTATGAGCTCAGTGGTTCCTGTCCCCTTTTTATTACAATATTTTAAAATGTGGAAGGAAAGGCATATAAATGTAGGACTTCTTTTTTTATTTTAAACATCTGTTTCACTGTTAACACCACAGTCTCTGCAGATCTCTCAAACTGATGGCTGTGTTCAGAGCACCACGTTATGGCCAAGCCCGTCATGTTCGAGAAACGCTAGGGGGCACCACTACCAAAGGAATGCTGCTCCCGGAGTTGGGCGGTGCAGCCCTTCCTTTCCTTATCCCGGTTTAAGTGCAGGACTTAAAAAGCCCTTACGTTGAATTTCTGCACCAAGGAGCAGTTTTCACTGATGCATCCAGGAAATGATATTAAAATACACGGGTGTATAAAGAACAACGAAAAAAATTAATACTTCCTAGGTGACACAACTGTATGTGTCAAAATTTAGAACTCTGCACTAAAAGGGGTGGATTTTATATGTATGTAAATTATATCTTAATGGGAAAAATAGTTAAGATCACCCAGGTAAATATGAAAAAGCCTTAGAGCTTAATGAACCATAATGATTATCATTCACTATTCAATCTTTCACAGGTCAGAGAAAGCACATTCACCAGGCAATCCATAAAACTAAAAATAATTCTAAGCAAATTCACTCTGAAATTAATAAAATTATTGATAAAGCTGTTCATGGTACATCTCAATAATAGATCAGGCAGTCAGGTTGACTTTTTTCACCTAAATTTAGTGACCAACTGCATGGCATTCTGTATGGCAGACCACAGCCTTGCACGCAGTACAGGACAGGCCTAACCACTCTGGTCAGGAGGGTGAAAATACTCTGGTTTGGGATGACCTGTGTAAAGAGAAGTGACAGTCTGAGTTTTTATGCTGCAAATAGCTCTTCCGCATGAAACACCCTCACTGTAACTCACATGTGCGGGTATTTGATTTGAGCATGCATGCCTGTAGCTGCATTTGTGTGACTAATTGATCACAGATGTGGTCCAGGGACCTACTTGTAGCTCTACTGACCAGACCTGTGATCTCAAGGTACCAATGACAAGGTAGGGATTTGGGATTTGGGAATAAAAGGTTTGAGTACAAGTGTACAAATGACTGCATCTGCTTTTGTGTCGCCCTGTGCCCCGCATCTCCTAGAAGGCCTGGGGTTTATGACGACAGGTTTAATTCCTGCTCCACAATTGCACTGTCATAAAGATCAAGATAAGACCGAAAGTCCTATTTGAGTCTGGCCACCAGTGAGTCGTGGGGAGTTGTGTCTTGTCTTGCAAATGTGCAGAAACTGCTGGACATCGATGCTTTGCTGTCATGATAGGTTGGAATTCACAGAGACAATGCTCCGTGTGGGAGTTCTCCAGGCTTTGGGCCACTGCGCCCTCCTCCCCTCACCTAGGTTTTCCTTGTGCGTGGTGCCTGTGCCCAGCGTTGCTCAGGATTTTCTGTGGGTGTGGAGTGTGCTCATGTACAACCACACATAAAATCACTCTTTCCTAAGCTCTGGAACTTAACCCCTGGAGATCTCAAGCTTTCAGGAAGGGGGGGGGAGTAGATACCCACAAAGGGCCTGGGGACTCCAGACTTCAGCATTAAAGGTAGATCTAAGAAGAAAATTAGAATTGTCTGTGAGGACAAGTTTTGCAAAAGGTAGTGTATCTTTTGTATTAGAAAGGTGTGATTTAATTAAAAATTCTACAAAATGTGAAATATTAAATACCCTATGTACAGTGGTTGTACATTAATGAAACATTTTGCTTTGGAACAAGGTTTAGTTTTAGGACTTTTAAGACACTATCGATTTAAATTGGTCCAGAAATTGGAAAGTACACTATTTCATACAGTTATTATCATTGGGCTGTGCTTAAGGAAAAACAGGGCTGTCAACATGAGGGGAATAAAACCAGTGTCTTAAAAACTTTGGAAACAATCATCTTAACAGACACCATCTGAATAAGCATTTTCACATCAAGGTTGCTTAGTTATCTAGAAAACCATAAAGATTAATAATTCAGTTTAATGTAAAGTAGAAACAACAAGTAAAGCAAGAAATGATGAAAACAAAGGAGGTTCTGTCAAATTCATAGGAGGCATCAAAGTCAGAATTGCCCTTTACATGGAATCAGGCCAATAAATTGAATCCAAGGTCTAGGTTTGTTCCTCTTTGCCGGAGGTGGCCTTAGGCATGTCATTCATTGTGGAGTCTGTCCCACACCCAGTCAGTAGAGCAGAACTTTTCTGCAGTGTTAACTCAGTAGTTTCGTCAGTGTGATCTTTACAGTTTTAGGAAATGAAAGTAATATACCACGTTTCTCTTTAAAATTTTGAATAAGGAAAATAAACATGAGCCGATAAAACATTTATTCTGTATTAATAGTCAGTACATGTATTAATTCAGGTCGAAGCCTTTTTTTCTTAGAGTATTATTACTTGAATATTCGCATCTGATCCACAGTAATATAGTACTAGTTTTAATAAGAAATACAAAATGGGACTTTGATAACAGCTCACCCACTTAACATTTTACAGACAAAGAACTACTATAAATATGTAACATTATGCAGGCATTTTTCTGCACCTATTCACAAACCAGAATGAATATGCTACCTAACTATTTAGAAACTGAATGCTTTCCAGCTGCCCCTGTATTCAGGTGACCACCTCCCTCACCAGACAAAACTGTTTTTTCTTTATTGTCCCCGCCACGGCACTTCGGACGCTGTGCTCCTTGGCACTGCTCCCTTGGTTGAGCCCTTGGAGGGCAGGGAGCCTGTCCCCTTTATCAGACTGTTTGACATAGGTTATACCCAGTACATGTTGAATCAAGCTGAATTTAATCAGGACATCTAAATTTTATGTCATTTCCTTCTGTTAATTTTTTAAAACTAAATAAGGATTGTTACAAAAATTCTTTTCAAAAATGTACCATAAAATGTACTCTGTTGAAATTTTGAATTCTGTAAAATAAGAAACTTCATGTTACACAATAAAACATCATAGGAATTTGAATGTAAAGAATTCTAAACCTTAAATGATGGGCAGAAAAGTCAACCCCTGATGTATTAAGTGTCAGATGAAATTAGAAAGACTTTACACAGTTGAATAAGATTGACGTTAAAAGGATCTTTTCAAACAATGGGATTCTGAAGTTTAACAATTATTTTAAAAATTCCGCTGTTAATCCTGAAAAAAATATTTAACTATAAAAAATAAGGCAACTTGAAGTTAGAAATTTATGAAGTTAACTCAGAATCGCATGCCCTGTTATGATCCATATCTTTAAACGCCTTTAGCAGGAAGACTATTCACACATAGTGGTGAAAAAACACAATCTCTCAGAAATAAAGCAGAGTTTCCAAGACTCCACTAAATAGCAGGCCAATTAAGATCATCACAGGCTTTGTGCTGTCAGATTACCTTGAAAGAAAGTCATGCAGACAGCTTTTCCGAAGAACTCCATCCGTGCCACCTGCTTATCAGTCTTTGAAGTGGAGGAGGTGGCAGGGAGCACAATTTCTGCTTGAAATTTCTTTTGTTTTCTGCTACATTTATCTAAATGTTATCATGGAACTATTTTTATATCCTGTGAAGTACTTTGGGAAAATGTTAAGTGAATAATGCTACATAGAAGAGAGGAGGCTTTTCATATTCTCTGGGTTGTAGAGCAAAGTGAATAATACTTGATTCTTAAAAGGGTGGGAGGGCTGGTGTGGCTCAGTGGTTGAACATCATGGTCCGATTCCCGGTCGGGGCACATGCCTGGGTTTCAGGCTCGACCCCCAGTAGGGGGCGTGCAGGAGGTAGCCGACCAATGACTCTCTCATCATTGATGTTTCTCTCTCTCCCCCTTCCTCTCTCTGAAATCAGTTTAAAAAAGGGGAGGGGGAAATAACATGCTAAAAAACTTAAGTGTCCAATAAACCAACCAGCCTACTAAACTTCTGAGCTCGAAGAGAAACCGTATCCCCACTAATTGATAAATGTTCACTAAAGGCAATATTTATACCACAGCAAATTTAAATGAAAATTCATGTGCGGTAATTAAATTGCCTTTTAAATGATCATTTTAATATTGTTAAAGGATTGTGAATTGAATAAGAATTTATTTATATTCATTTAATGTCTTACATATAAAATCAGATTGCTTAAAATACTGTTATAATAAAAAGTTTTAAGAGAGGTTTCTAAGTCATAATTATTTCTACAACAGCAAAATGATCTGGATGACCTTAGAATTCACTATAGTAGGACTTGGCCGTGTGGAAGATATAGTCAGATTGAAACCAATTTAATGACTGTGTTCCTTTCTCAAACTGGAATCCTACTTATTTAATTTACCAGATATTTTCAGTAGGGAAGATTGAGGAGAAACCACTTAAGAATGAATGCGAGTACACTCATCATAAAAACAATTCATTATAATACATTCTAATAAAAATACATCACAAAAACAACCCATTATAATACATTCTAATAAAAAACATGTATCAAACCAGAGGGGGATGTGTGGAAACACAGGACTAGATAAAATATTACTTTCTTAAAAAAGAAAATTCATTACACATATTTCCCTAGTATGTTTTTAAAATTCCCAAATACACCTAAACCTTTCAAAATATTTTCAATAACTGATAAGCGCTGTGCTTTTTGCTCACCTATGAGAGATTAAAAACTTGCAGTGCAAGTTATGTTGGCTCGAGCCATCCTTGCAGTAAATGAAGACAGGATTCCTCAAAACTCTGTAAAATGTACCAACTCTAATCAGGTCTAAATTGTTCACTTTTAAATATTTGATATTTTGCTGGTAGCTGTCCAAGTCCATTAGCACCACATATAGTGAATTAAAAAGAGTATTTTTAGGGAGTATGATTTGGCTGTCTTTTTTTTTTTTAAATGTTTAAAAGTTGTACAAATAAAAGAAATTGGTGTATTGGGTCATGTGTTTTGAAAGATCCACTTTTCATCTTGCTAAATTGAAGGATTTGGGTGGATCCCCCCATCCCAAGTTTATAAGCATGAAGGTAGGGAAATCTGAGGAATGCTTTTTCGATTCAGTAAAGAATCTTGCTAATAATATCCATTATTTAGTTCAGTTTCAAAGTCGGATTAGGTTCTTCTGCCAGAGGTCTCAATATGTACTTACAGGAAAAAAAAAAAGATTCTACTGGACAAATTAACACATACTTTCTATATGCAATCCATAAATACTTCATGAAGTCACCAGACCATTTAAAATCATCTAAAGGACATTCTTTTTTCTAGGAATGTACAAATCACACATACAACTCTAGTGCAAGCGCTTCATTACTTATCTACTTTCGAAGTAACACCGTCTCTCAGTGTAGACAGCGGGGGACTATACAATACGAAGCCTAACCTGTGAGGTGAGGAAGTATATTATAGTATCACGGCCAGAAGAAAGGTGGAAATAGAATCACTTTTTCAAAAAGTATGGCAAATCATTGATGAAATCAATGACTTAAGTAACTGAGTAAAATGCAGATAAGCCCTTCTCATTGTTATAAGTTCATTTTTTTGGTAAGGGATTAGCTGTATTGAAAAAAAACAACAAACCCTGATGAAAAATTTAATTTTCAATGTCCACGTGAAATGTTTTTTTACTGGTGTCTCTGAACGCATGGGCACCATGAAAGAATACTGACATTTAAAATGTGCATTAGCAGTAACTTTTAACTTTCTATTCAACCTTGTACTTGGCTCATTCTTGGTCAAGGATGAATAATATTTTTTACTAAATTATTACGATTTCCTAGGACTTTTCCTGCCAGGCTGGCTTTGAATCCGCTCTCGCACTCTGAGGAGTATGGTCTCTGGAGAAGTACTCCTGCAACAGGAGTCCTTGTGCTCTGTGATGGCTTGTACTGGGGAAGTTTGCCTTCTCCTGGCTGGAAAATAATATTCCACTCTTTTTGCATTTGTTGTTGCTGTTGTTTTGTTTGTTTTTACCTTTTCATCAGATGATCCCATGCAGAAATGGATTTATACAAGTCTGTGTGGGGCAGAAGAAGGACGGAGAGGGAAAATGCACTCCCTGTCCCCACAGCTTTGCACTTGGTAGTTATTTGCCTGTTTGAAGTAATCTGTGAATGGCTTTTGTAAGGGACTTGAGCAAGACTAGAAACCGCTCATGTTTAATTCAACTATGCATATTTTGCTGAAATTGGGAAAAAGCAATTTTTTTAAGATAAGACTACTGCTTAGGACTGTAACAACTATAAATAACACATTCACCAAAAAAAGGCTCACCTTGGTCACCATTGTAAACAGCATAAATGTGCACTGTAACAAAAAGCTTTGAAAACTGAATGCAATGTTAACCTATACACAGAGTTGAACTATCAAGAGGAAACCAGGCTTTGCGACATCAGCAGACATGAAAGAGATGATGGCATATTGTAAGTGCTCAATAAATACATCTTCCTCCCCTCAGGCACCCCAATCTCCACAGGCCATTTTAGCAACTCCCTGTATGTCACTTTGCACTGTGATCTGTACCGACCTCCTCCATCCAGAAATGGCTGCATGTTACTGGTAGGCAGGGTTTCAGAAACTTAATTAATTCTTCAGCACTTCTGGGCTGTGAGTGTACATTTAAATTCCACACCTGAAAATCTCTTACTTGTTACTGAATAAGAAATGCCACAAATATGTAAAATAATTCATCGTTAAATTTTTTCTTCCCATGATATGGAAATTGAGTCACTGTAGAAGATTGTTTATTTTATTGTCATCAGAGGCCATTTCATTAACCAGCTGTTCTATAGACAGCTGGATAGCATTCTTGACAAGAGAAGAGGCTGTTTGTATTAAGAGTGTTTCATATTGTTCTGAAGTTCTACCCTCAAAACCACACTCAGCAAAACCCCCGACTTCCTCATTTTCAACTGACATTAAGAATGGCTTAGGGACATTTTTAGATTTTGTAACGTCAAATTCACTAATTTCAGTGTCCGTAATAATAATAGCAATGGGTTCCATTCTTTTGTTTTCTTCTGGTTTGGGTTTCTCTGCACTGATTTTAATTTCTTTAAAATCTGATTCCTGGCTCAGTTCAGTATCTTTTGGCTTAATCTTTTCAGCTACAATCTCTACACTTTCCTGGTCTTTCGAATTTGGTCCACTTTCTGGGATGTCGTTTCTGGCTTCTTCCACAATTTGTTGATCCGGGGTTGCAGGTGAGGGGAGAGCCTCAGAAACCCCTGGTAGCTGGTGTTGTGTTTCTGAAGTTTCAAGTGGGCTTGTTTGCTGGGGTGGGACACTTTGTTCTTCCTCAACCGTTTCAATGTCTTTTTCAAGGATTAGAGTTCCTGTTTGAACAGCAGAATGCCCCATATCTAACCCAAGTTCTACTGAAATCACGTTCTCTCCAGGAGAAGTTCTGCTGTTGCTCACGTTTGGTTCACAAACCTCATCACCTTCTTTCTGTGAGACATCTCCACTTACATCCTGGGTCAACTTGGCCTTTGCTGCCTGGTCATCGGATTGGGTTGGAGTTTTTGTATCCAACTTTTCAGCTTCTCCCTGAACTTTGATGCTGCAGTCTGTATCTTCTATAATTCTGGAATGATTGTGTCTTTTCTCCCCTTTCGAGAATTTTATGCAGGGAATTCTAAATCTGGATTTTGCCTTTTTCTTAGAAAGATCAGCATCCTCGGCATTGACTTCAGGTTGCACGTTAGCCTCAAAGGGCTTTTGCTGCTTTGAAGAATCTGGCTGTTTCCTGCGTGTTACAAGGCGTTTTATTGAGGCCCAGGCCCCCCCTGGGGGCTGCGGCTGATCAGAAGCTCCTGCTCCTGAAGGACACTTCCCGGCCACATCGACAGCTTCGGAGCCAGCCTTGGGCTTCGTGGCTTTGGCTGATTTCTTTCTTCTCTTGAAGCAAAGCATCGGTGCCTTCTCCTCCTGCCTCTCACCCTGAGGACTAACGGCTGATCTCTTCTCATCCTTGCTTTCTACTTGAATTTCAGAAACTGGGATCTCCATTTTTACATTACACTTTTTCTTTCTCTACAAAACTATATTCTCTCTTCCTCAGCAGCCGTTTATGACAAAAAGCTGGGCAAAAACATCATACTAGGGGAAATTTCTTCCAGATGTATTCACTCCTTTTGTCTTATTCCACATAGTTGATTGAGGTGGTTTCTCCAGTATGCAAATGCCTAGTTTCTCTATTACTTGCAATTTCTCTTTAATTTCTTCATGAAAGCCCTTTACTTGACAGACTTTGTTTTATTTAAACATCAACCTGATGAGAGAGGAGAGAGTGTTATTTTATTTCACCATCAGCCTGTTGTTTTCTATAGAGACAATTTCAGTTGAATGCATATGATTCCACCAGGCATGTTTCCCGTATTAATAACTTACTGAAAATGACTGGAGAATAAAAATTTGGGTTAGCCCTGGCTGGTTTTTCTCAGTGGTTAGAGCGTCGGCCCATGGACTGAAGGGTCCCGGGTTTGATTCTGGCCAAGGGGATGGACCTCAGTTGCAGGCTCGATCCCCAGCCCCAGGTTGGGGCACATGCGGGAGGCAACCCATCACTGTGTCTCTCTCACATCGACGTTTCTCTCACATGAGTCTCTCTCCCTCCCTCTCTCTCTCTCTTTCTCTGTCTCTTCCCTTCCACTCTCTCTGAAAAGCAATGGAAAAAATATCCTCAAGTAAGGATTAAAAGAAAACTTGGGGTCAACTTTTTAAAAAAATTGATTCGAGAGAGAGGAAGGGAGAGGGGGAGAGAGAGAAACATCAATGTGTGAGAGAAACATCAATAGGTTGCCCAGACTGGAGACTGAACCCACAGCTTGGTATATGCTGACTGGGAATTGAACCTGGGACCCTTTGGTGCACGGGACAGCACTCCAACCGACTGAGCCACACTGGCCACGGCTAGTTGGGCTGTCTTTATGACTTGTTTATGACTCTGAATTGCAAGTTAACAAAGAAACAAAGAAAGGTAGGGTGATCAGCAAGCTAGTGTAATTTTTACTACATGCAATAAAGGATTTTGAAGCTGCAAAGGATTTTAGAGATGATTTGAGATTAATCAAGCACCAGAATGGGCAGTTAGCCTGTTGAAAGCCATATAGTTAGGTAAGGTCACAGCCAGAGCTAGAACTAAAGACTGATTCTACAATGTTCTTTCCATTACACCTAAGATTTCTCTATTCTAAACATGTAAGTTCCATCAAGGAGGCGCTACTTTCCATACATACGCTGGGGAAACTTAACATTACTGTCATTCTCCACTCTTAAATTCAGTTGTATAATGTTGACTTTTTCCCCCTAAGTATTTGCTGTTCAAACATTTTCCATAATGAGCACATAGTTGAAGGTCAGTAAGAGCAAATGATAGTAATAGCTGACATTTACTGAGCAACTTCTGTGTATATTAGGAAGTGCTCAGCACTTTTACATACATCTCTAATCCTCCCCACGTTACAAAGTGAGTAGGTGGTGGTATCGCCATCTACAGATGAAGAAACAGGCTCAGAGACGTTTAGCAACTTGCCTGAGATTACACAGCTGGTAGGTAACAGAGCTCAGATTCAACCCAAGATTGTTTCTGAAGCCCGTGCTCTGAAACTGGGCTTTAAGAATTTCATCAGAGCCCGGCCAGGCGTGGCTCAGTGGTTGAGCATCGACCTAGGATCCATGTGATCGGGGTTCGATTCCAGGTCAGGGCACATGCCTGGGTTGTGGGCTTGATCCCTAGTTGGGGGTGTGCAGGAGGCAGCCAATCAATGACTCTCTCATCATTGATGTTTCTATTTCTCTCTTCCTCTCTCCTCTCGTCTCTCTGAAATCAATAAAGATATATATATATATATATATATTTAAAATATTCTTTTAAATAAAAAAGAATTTCATGAGAAAAATGAACTGTGTAAAGATGCTAATCTGTACTAGATTTGCTAGTCAAAAATTTTAACAATGTTTAATGGTTATGTAACCATTATGTAGCCCATCAACTCATAACTGAATCAAGATTAGATTGAGTTTTTCCTATTTTAAAATTAAACTTTTGAAATTCCTTATATGTTATTTTGGTTCTAGAAAGCCAAGTGTAAATGATAAACTGTACAACTGGCAAACTGGTTAGTTATGTATAAATATAAAGGTATATTTAAAAATTTATCCACAGAATGTGGGACCAATGAACAGAGATATGAGGTGATCATCTCACAAAATTCCTATGAATTTTAGCGGATGGATGTCCTAAAATAAGCAAAGGGACTCAGCCATTGGACTGTTTTTATGTAAATCCTTCGCTGTTGAAGGTTTATTTGGGTTCTGGATTCTACAAACCACATAGGGAACTGGAACTCTGAAAATGAGTTTATGATCTAAGTACCCCCTCAGGTTGAGTGTTACGTACTTCATGCCTCTGACAGACAGTTACCCTATCACAATAATGGAACTAAAATATGACCGTTTTCATAGAGTCCCTCCTCCTATAATGCTCCCGTAAGTACCAGAAGGGCGGCTGATTATAGCTTCCTTCAAGTCTTCTCACTTCTATGAGCTCGCAGCTCCTGAAAACTTCTGCTGATGAGAGGATGTACAACCGCCGGCGATGCCGAAACTAGGTCATGCGCAGGAATGTATCGTTTCAGACCAACAGGGACGGCTGCTGGGGAAGCTCACTCTCACGCTGCAGGGATAAAGCAAATACGCAGACGGGAACCTAACTGCAACGGGGAAAATGCAATCTGTAGACATGAAAACTTTGCAGAATGTTAGACTGCAAATGATTCGCTCTCAACCTGCAAGTGTAGTTTTATCGCCTCAAAAATCTTAAAGTCCTAGATGTCGTTTCCTGATAAAGCCCAAATCGGAAGCCACGGGAAACCCCCTTCCCCGTTCCCCTTGGGCAGAGGGCGCAGGGGGGCAGGCGCCGGGCGAGCGGCTCCCGCAGGCTCCCGCAGGCTCCCGCAGGCTCCCGCAGGCTCCCGCAGGCTCCCGCAGGCTCCC